TGCCATGGTGACACCACCCAGGACGCTGGTACGCTGACACCACGTGATTTGAAGCCGACAGGAGCATTCTTTGATCTCAGCTCCCCTCAGAGCGGACGGGCCGTCCATTGGAATCACACTGTCCACTTCAGGCTGGTTAATTTTATTATACTTGCTACTTTATCTCACCCAATAAAGATGCACCTCCACTAAGGTGCTTGTCTGAGAGCATTTTCCACAGCGCCTTTTTTTCCAGTTCTCTTCATCATGCATATGATTAACAAGGCAGCAGTGGTGAGCTCATGATTAACTGTTCACATGTTTCCACCTGGAGTGGCCTCTCTGCGCTCATTTGTATGAGTTTTCCTTCCTTCATGGATGACACTCATGCCATTCCTCTGCAGTTTATGCCATATTGTGTCACAGAAAACAATCACCCTGTTTTGGCTTTCTACTTCTTTAGCTAACTGCAGTGAACTTGCATAGCTGTATTTCTTCAACCCTTATTAAAAGATGCTCCTGTCGAAGTGTTAACTTCCATGGATGGTCTGTGAGATGGTTGCAGTTCCATCTTTGTTAAATTTTTGTATCACTTTTGCTACAGTATACTGACTGATACATAAGGCTTTGCTGATCTTCCTGTAGCCTTCACCTTTCTTGTGTAAAGAAATTATTTTCTTTCTCAGGACTTGTGACATTTCCCTTCTATGTGGTGCCATTGCTGACAGCATGAAATGGGAAGGGGCTTTCTTTGTTAAGTAACGCCCTTTTATAATCTACTGTCTGCTTGACCCCCGTTCAATGAATAATTAGACTCACCTATAGTTGAATTCTTGTTCAATAGGATTTTGTTGTCTAAAATTTAGCTTTGCTCCAAAGACTTTCATTGGGGTGTATTCATTTGCAACATGGTGTTAAATTAATTTGTTGAGAAAAATACTTTTTAGTGTGTACAAATTAACAAATCTTGTTTTCAATCAATGGCCCGCATTTGTGGGAGTATTTTGAAGTATAGAACATAGGAAATGTTGATTCTGAAAGGAAAGTAAAGGTTTTCTGACAAAACGGTTGGGCTGTTGGGGCGTACTCATTTTATGCTGAGCAGTGTGTGTGTGTGTGTATGTATATATATGTGTGTGTGTGTGTGTGTGTGTGTATATATATATATATATATATATATATATATATACAGTCAGGTCCATAAATATTGGGACATCGACACAATTCTAACATTTGTGGCTCTATACACCACCACAATGGATTTGAAATGAAACGAACAAGATGTGCTTTAACAAAAACTGCAGACTGTCAGCTTTAATTTGAGGGTATTTACATCCAAATCAGGTGAACGGTGTAGGAATTACAACAGTTTGCATATGTGCCTCCCACTTGTTAAGGGACCAAAAGTAATGGGACAATTGGCTGCTCACCTGTTCCATGGCCAGGTGTGTGTTATTCCCTCATCCCAATTACAATGAGCAGATAAAAGGTCCAGAGTTCATTTCAAGTGTGCTATTTGCATTTGGAATCTGTTGCTGTCAACTCTCAAGTTGAGATCCAAAGAGCTGTCACTATCAGTGAAGCAAGCCATCATTAGGCTGAAAAAACAAAATAAACCCATCAGAGAGATAGCAAAAACATTAGGCGTGGTGAAAACAACTGTTTGGAACATTCTTAAAAAGAAGAAATGCACCGATGAGCTCAGCAACACCAAAAGACCCGGAAGACCATGGAAAACAACTGTGGTGGATGAGCGAAGAATTCTTTCCCTGGTGAAGAAAACACCCTTCACAACAGTTGGCCAGATCAAGAACACTCTCCAGGAGGTAGGTGTATGTGTGTCAAAGTCACCAATCAAGAGAAGACTTCACCAGAGTGAATACAGAGGGTTCACCACAAGATGTAAACCATTGGTGAGCCTCAAAAACAGGAAGGCCAGATTAGAGTTTGCCAAACGACATGTAAAAAAGCCTTCACAGTTCTGGAACAACATCCTGGACAGATGAGACCGAGATCAACTTGTACCAGAGTGATGGGAAGAGAAGAGTATGGAGAAGGAAAGGAACTGCTCATGATCCTAAACATACCACCTTATCAGTGAAGCATGGTGGTGGTAGTTGCATGGCGTGGGCATGTATGGCTGCCAATGGAACTGGTTCTCTTGTATTTATTGATGATGTGACTGCTGACAAAAGCAGCAGGATGATTTCTGAAGTGTTTCGGGAATATTATCTGCTCATATTCAGCCAAATGCTTCAGAACTCATTGGACGCCGCTTCACAGTGCAGATGGACAATGACCCAAAGCATACTGCAAAAGCAACCAAAGAGTTTTTTAAGGGAAAGAAGTGGAATGTTATGCAATGGGCAAGTCAATCACCTGACCTGAATCCAATTGAGCATGCATTTCACTTGCTGAAGACAAAACTGAAGGAAAAATGCCCCAAGAACAAGCAGGAACTGAAGACAGTTGCAATAGAGGCCTGGCAGAGCATCACCAGGGATGAAACCCAGCGTCTGGTGATGTCTGTGCATTCCAGACTTCAGGCTGTAATTGACTGCAAAGGATTTGCAACCAAGTATTAAAAAGTGAAAGTTTGATTTATGATTATTATTCTGTCCCATTACTTTTGGTCCCTTAACAAGTGGGAGGCACATATGCAAACTGTTGTAATTCCTACACCATTCACCTGATTTGGATGTAAATACCCTCAAATTAAAGCTGACATTCTGCAGTTAAAGCACATCTTGTTCATTTCATTTCAAATCCATTGTGGTGGTATATAGAGCCAAAAATGTTAGAATTGTGCCCATGTCCCAATATTTATGGACCTGACTGTGTGTGTGTGTGTGTGTGTGTATATATATATATATATATATATATATATATATATATATATATATATATATATATATATATATATATATATAATAATGAATAATATATATATATTTATATATTATTCATTATCTATTTTGTAATCTTTTTTCTTTTCAGCATGTACAGGCTTTTGCAGCATCCATTAAGAATAATATGTTACTTTTTCCATTCAGAAAGCACTGGATCCTGAGAATGTGTGGGGGGGGGGGGGGGGGAGCATGCACTGGTTGTTATTGAGGTTCTTACTGATAAATGGAACAGTAGAAGAGCGTGGAAGTGAGCCTTCAAGAGACCCTTTCAATTTGCCTTGAATGGGCAAAATGACATAGTCTCTTTAAGTTGCATAACGTGTTAAAAAATGGACTTGTTGCCACAGAAAGAAATGTAGACACAGTTTTCTCTGCAATTTCACTCTTAATGCTTTCATTCCAGTTTTGAATGACAGGTCTGCTTTATTAGAATGTAAAATAAGAACAAAAATTGAAGTTTCACTGTCAGAATCTCTTCTAGGAATCTTCAACCATTAGACAGCCCAGCAGGGTGTGATTGTGATGTTGAAAAACATGCAACTCTACTACTATGGATGTAGTAGACTAATTCCGTTTTATTTCAAGATTTAAAAGTTACCAAAGTTTTACATCACACTTATCAGAAGGAATAATACATTTTGACTTTGAAGAACAAACCTGGCTTTAGTCCTATTAATTTATGAAGTTAATATATGAACATTGCTGGTGATATGTCAACAAGTCCCTGAAAGAGAGATGTCAGAATGACTGACTGCGTTAGAGCAGCATGTTCTTTAATCATTTTTTTGAGTTGTCATTCTACCAACATTTATTGTAGGCCTCATTTTACTTTGGAGGTTTGTCAGCATATGATGGTGCTTTATGCTGGTAATGAACACCTGGACAACATTAGTATATGTGATGTTATTGATCCACGAGATTCACCCTCACTCTGTCTCAGTGGCAACAATCAAGGGACAGATAGTCCATCCATTCTGCACTCTGCCCAAACCCCACAAAAGTCTGCAGCCCCACTTTGTTTTATATTTAACATTTTTAGAATCATGCATACTGTACCATACATTGGAGGAAAGTTATCTAACAAACTGTATTGAAACTCAAGTAAAGGAAGTAAAGGGATTTTGTTACAGCAGTTTTGTGACAACCCCCCCCCCCCCCCCCCCATGACAGTCTTTATTACCTGTTCATTGTACCAGTAGATATGTTATTTCTCTGCTTGCTTTAACATGTTGACAGTGCTGAAGTCACACAGCAGAATTGTCACCCTAAGCTTAGATGAACATGTAGTTTTTAAATGAATTACAAAGTCCAAATAACATTTTTTTTTTTTTTTTTTTTTTTTTATTTAAAGAGACAAGCAATACATACAAGCAATTGCCCATTGTTAAAACTGCAAAAGCTGCTATTTTCCGCCCCTTTTTTACCCCTACATATTAACTACTAAATACTTAATTCATACTGTAGCTAGGTGATCTGACATAAACACTTCTCCCATAGCTGTGCAACTACATGCTCCACTGTGACTAAATAACAAACAATATTTCTTCAGAGCTGATCTCCGTTATACGTATATTTAAAGTAACTGTGAGCCCATAATTTTATTTATTTTTAACAACAAACATGTCATACTCTGTGCAAAAGCAGCCCCGATTATCCTCTTCTAGGGTCCCCTGTTGGTGCTTCAGGCTCCTCCCACCTTCTGATTGCACACTATTGCAAGCTGGTCCAAGCAAGTGTCCCTTCCCTGATCCTCCTCACTGGCTGTGATTGACAGCAGCATGGGAGTCAATGGCTTCCCTCTGCTATCTCTGAGCCTATGAACAGGGAGAGAGCGGAAAGAGCTGCTGCTCTCATGCACAGTACTAAAATGAGATCAGCGCTCTGGTAAGTATAAGGGGGAGGTGGGGGGAGCTGCACTAAGAAGGTGTACGTACATGCATATTTAACATAATGCAGAGAATTTATTAAAGTTAATAAAAAAAAAAAAAAACCTTCAGCCTGTAGGACCACTTTAATGAATCCTTGAAAAGACTATATATTCCCTTTAAGGAGGGTTAAGAGTTAAAGTTAGTGTCTTTTTAACGTGTCCTATGGCTTGAAATTGTTTTATAGATCCCTTGTATGTCTGGCAGCAGACGGCAGATGATGTGACCCTTACATTCGCCCTACCTGATGGCACAGCCAAAGACGACATCAAGATCCACTTTGCTCCCACTCACTTAACTGTCTCATTAAAGGAGCAGAAGCCGTTTCTGAAAGGACCACTGTACTCCGTCATTGATCATGAAAGCAGCACTTGGGTTCTAAAAGATGAAAGACGGTAAAGTAGACGGGATTGCATTTATGATGTATTGCAGACATGCCTTCATATGCAATATACCTCATTAAATTTTTCTTTTATTTCATTAGGTTGAATTATATGTGATGGATGATTCTTATGCACCTTCACCCCCACCCAGTATACAGATCCTTGGTCCTCCCAAGTGTTCTTATACAGTATTACCATGATGAAAAGCTTTGTAATAATGCTCAAATGTAAAACCTTAATGTAAAGAATTTTTGGGGTGTGGGTTAAACTAAATTGTACTTCTAAAAATATTAATTAACAGATTATACCATAAAACACAAAGGGGTTGATTTACTAAAGGTAAATATAAACTGTAAGTGTAGTTATTTTATATCCGAGGGGAAGCTCTGAAATGAGGCAAAACTCTGCCGATTTCTTTCAGTCATGTGCAAGCAATAATGCTGTTTTTTAATTTTCCTTGTATGTTCCCCTCAGACCTAGACCAACTGCACGTTCAGTGCACAGCCTGTTTGCCTTTAATAAATAAACCCCACTAGTTTAATCGTGCTCTTTTGGTGTAATCTATTCAGGCACAAAGGAAACACAGCGACACTGGCAACCAATTGGGTACAATTTTCTCTTTACTCGGATAAGGATAAATATGTTTTTTGTTGGTTGATTTGGCTTCCTTTACTTTCTGTCTTTCTACGCTGCTCTTTACCCAAAATCAGGACCACAGTTGCACATTTTTTACTATTTGAGAGTAGGAAAAGGCTACAACTTTTGGTCCACAAGCCAAGAAGTGAGGGGAAGTCTTAGCAGAAACACAGGCAGCAATAAACTTCTTTAAGTGGAGACGTGAAGGACTAGTACTCCTGTCAGGTTTTAACTGCTCTCTGTTCGAGAGCTCCCATTCAATTACTGTGTGGTCATCAAAACAGGAAATAAGGAAGAATCTTCCCAGTGAGATACAGAAATCAATACAAACCTCATGGAGGTATTAACCCTTTCCTACAAGAAATAGGACCAGGTTTGTGAATCTGTTCACACCTTACATACCCATTTATGGATAATTTGCACATATGTATGTTTTTGTGCATTAAGCCAGCCCATTGACTTCAAATGGGTTTTTACCAAGCCTGAATGCATTAAATAGTCGCATCTGTGCGTTATGCAAGTACATTTGTTTTTTAGTGTGCATGTACAGTCATGGCGAAATTGTTGGCACCCTTGATATTTTCTCCAGGAAATCATGTATTTCTCACGAAACGTATTGCATTAACACATGTTTTGCTATACACATGTTTATTCCCTTTGTGTGTATTGGGACAAAACAAAAAAAGGGAGGAAAAAAGCAAATTCGACATAATGTCACACAAACCTCCAAAAATGGGCTGGACAAAAGTAGCACCCTTTCACAACTGCGGATAAATAAGAATTTTACAACATGTGATGCTCCTGTAAATCACCTGGGGCAAGTAACAGGTTGTGGGCAATATAGAAATCACACCTGAAAGCAGATAAAAAGGAGAGACGTTCACTTAACCTTTGCATTGTGTGTCTGTCTGTGCCCACTAAGCATGGACAACAGAAAGAGGAGACGAGAACTGTCTGAGGACCTGAGAACCAAAATTGTGGCAAAATATCAACAATCTCAAGGTTACAAGTCCATCTCCAGAGAACTAGATTTGCCTTTGTCCACAGTGCGCAACATTGAAGTTTGCAACCCATGGCACTGTAGCTAATCTCCCTGGTCGTGGACGGATGAGGAAAATTGATGAAAGAGCAGAATAGTCCGGATGGTGGATAAGCAGCCCCAAACATGTTCCAAGACATTCAAGCTGTCCTTTAGGCTCAGGGAGCATCAGTGTCAGCGCGAAATCCGTCGACATTTAAATGAAATGAAACGCTATGGCAGGAGACCCAGGAGGAACTGCTGACACAGAGACATAAAAAAGCAAGACTACAGTTTGCCAAAATGTACTTGAGTAAGCCAAAAGCCTTCTGGGAAAACGTCTTGTGGACAGATGAGACCAAGATAGAGCTTTTCGGTAAAGCACATCATTCTACTTTTTACCGAAAACGGAATGAGGCCTACAAAGAACAAAAACACAGTACCTACGGTAAAATATGGTGGAGGTTCAATGATGTTTTGGGGTTGTTTTTCTGCCTTGGCACTGGGTGCCTTGACTGTGTGCAAGGCATATGAAATCTGAGGATTACCAAAGGATTTTGGGTCGCACTGTAGGGCCCAGTGTCAGAAAGCTGGGTTTGCGTCCAAGATCCTGGGTCTTCCAGCAGGACAATGACCCCAAACATACGTCAAAAAGCACTCAGAAATGGATGGCAAAGAAGCGCTGGAGAGTTTCTGAAGTGGCCAGCAATGAGCCCAGATCTAAATCCCATTGAACACCTGTGGAGAGATCTTAAAATTGCTGTTGGGAAAAGGTTGTCCTTCCAATAAGAGAGACCTGGAGCTGTTTGCAAAGGAAGAGTGGTCCAAAATTCCGGGTGAGAGGTGTCAGAAGCTTATTGATGGTTATAGGAAGCGACTGATTTCAGTTATCAAAGGGTGTGCAACCAAATATTAAGTTAAGGGTGCCAATACTTTTGTCCAGCCCATTTTTGGGGTTTTGTGTGACATTATGTCATATTTGCTTTTCTGCCTCTGTTTTATATTTGTTCCAATACATACAAAGGGAATAAACATGTGTATAGCAAAAACATGTGTTAATGCAATACCTTTTTTGTGTGAAATACTTGATTTTCAGGAAAAATATCAAGGGTGCCAACAATTTCGGCCATGACTGTATGTATTCAGAATAAATAGCAATGAACCACAATGCTAAGCGCATATACAGTAGATCGGAAATCAGCCTTAACCTTACCTCTCCTCTATCCAATGTCTAGAGTTTGGGATGGGGAGATGACCAGTGTTATGAAGGGTTGCCACCATTGATTTTGGATAGAGCTATCCAAGAGGTACTAGGTTTACAAAATCTATTTATTCAATGGAACAGAGAAAATCACATTTCTTAATCTTATAGTAAGGGCTACAGGATGAAGTGATAAAGGTACAGTATACTGGGTTATGCTGCTGTCTTTAGGAGATTGGATACTGGCAAAGAAAAGCTCTGACTGCCTAGTATAATTTCTCCTACTCTTTTCGTGCCTGTTTTTTTTTTTTTTTTGGCTATTGTTCTTGGTGAATGGATATCTGCTCACCTATGAGAAGAGTAAGATACTTTCTTTTTTATAAGAATCTTTATACATCTAGCAAGTTTCTTCAGTTACCGCAGAGATCAGCTGATCCTCGGCATTGCCACAGCTTCTGTACCCTGACCACGCTGAGAAGACCGGCTTGTAATGTGTCCTTGGACACTGGGCTCTGCTGCAAGTTCTCCTCTGTCAGGCACAGAGTGCTTTACAGGTCCAGGGCTGTGGTGCACCCATCTGGTGGAATCCTGTTCCTGAAGACCCTTTGGGGGAGCATGCCTGATGGAGGGATGTAAATTTTTTTTATGTGCATGCAACTTATGACCTGCTTGTACTTCACCATGGCTGTAAGTACTGGAGCTTTGCCCTTATCCTTAGAGCTGTTGTGTGGTAATGTCTCCCACTAACCTCTTTGGGGTTGGTGTTCAGATGTGAGCTGTGACATATTTATTGTAATGCAGATACTCTATAGAGGATACTGCAGCATTTTTTAATGTGTCACACCCGCACACTAGGGCAGCGGCACATTCTGTTTCTGAGCCCATGTACTTTTGCTTCTCTGTTGGCAGTTACATCACAGTGACCTGGCCACAGGCAGCCTATTTAACCCCTCTTGCTCCAGCAGTTGGTCTGTGAATACCCCTATGAAATGTTTTTCTTACACTGACAGTAGGGCCTTTGAATCTGATGATCCGCTAAAAGTTCCAGAACAGTTTTATGTGATCCTCCTTGAGGTGCTGACTTCAATAACCTGGATCACTGTCCCCTACTTGAGTCTGCACCTGCCTCAGAGTATTCTTTAACTTCTTCAGACTTGTCTTTATATGCAAACATATTCTGCAAATGTATCTCTGAGTTTGTGGGGTAAAAGTCATAAATGGGAGTCTCCTCCAGAGTCCAACTCTGATTTCCCTATAACAGCAGTGACTTCGGCACAGTCAGCTAAGGGTTTTTTGGATGAGTAGTGCATGAGGAGGCTCAGTCTCCTGACATACCTCCAAAGCCTACGTTTATTATTTTGTTCCTGCAGTATGCACAAGTTCAAACCTAATGCAACCTGTGTTGGTTTTCTCTAATGTTGCCAATCTGGCTTTTCTTAATAATCCTCTGTAAAAAAACTGACTTGTGCTTTCTCTTCTGCAACCTGTTGTATATAGTGACCTTTGCAAACAACTAGGAGCACCACTTGAAATTTTAGAATGCTGATCCAGTGATCCACTAAATAGATGAGTGCTGGCATCTGAGAGTTAATCCCAGAAAACATGGCAGTTATGCAGTATGTACTCACCTCACTGCCAATAGCCCAGTGTGTGATAGAAGTGGGAAGTGGCTGCTCCTAAACCATGCCCCCTGATGTTGTTTGCTCTGCCCCCTGTATAAGCTTCAACATTGAGCTTTAAATTTTGACAGTTCTCCTGAAGATCAAACGTCGCACGGAATGGGTGTCATTTCACTGTGCATTGGGGGAAATTGTAGTAATAGGCTGTGGTTCAGCAGGTGAAAGGAGCCGTATTGTAGATGTGAGCAGACAGAAATATCAGATTTTAATTGGGCCAAGTGTTTTTTACTACTTCATAGGACCATATATTTGACAGTAAAAATACTGTTTTTAAGTTTGTTGTATATGCATATATAATTTCTATATAAATATCCCTAAAACATAAGAGAGCCACAGCACAAATGTTCTAATTTTGACTTTACTGGCTTTTAGTCTGGCAGTACAGCGGAATAAATATTATGTTAGAGCAATAACTGCATGTGTTATATAATCAGTTCATTGTATCGGAGCTTTCTCTACCTGCAGCTCATATGTTTGG